CTCCAGGCGCAGAGCTTACGAGGGTTCCCGGTTTAGGGTTTAGGGTTTAGGGTAGGGTTGGGGTCTAGGGGTTTAGGGTTTAGGGTTTTAGGGTAGGGTTTAGGGTTTAGGGTTTAGGGTAGGGTTTAGGGTCTAGGGGTTTAGGGTTTAGGGTTTAGGGTTTTAGGGTAGGGTTTAGGGTTTAGGGTTCCTATAGTGTCGGTTTAGGGTTTAGGGTTTAGCGCTTAGGGTTCCTATACCTAGGGTTTAGGGTTTAGGGCTTAGGGTTTAGGGTTCCTATACAGTCGGTTTAGGGTTTAGGGTTTAGGGTTTTGGGTTCCTGTACAGTCGGTTTAGGGTTTAGGGTTCGTATACAGGGTACTCTAAGATTTCCTTCAAGGCACCGAGCAGTGTATGCTTTTTGAGAGAACGGAGGTTTAGGGCATTGGCGCCTTCTGGAGTTGATGTTTCCGGATACAGGGTGTAAGTTTTGAAGGTTTAGAGCTTTGAGGCTTTGTGATGTTCGTGGTTTTAGGCCGTTTAGGGTTTAGGTTGTGGAGAGGTTAGTGTTTGGGGGGTTTAGGGTTTTTTTGGGGGGTAGCGCATTGTTACGGGTAGTTCGGAGTCTTGCTGAGGATTGCAATATCAGGCAATCCCAAGTTGGCTGAAGTTTAGGGTTAAGGGTGAAGCCATAGAAGCATACGGACACTAAGCCCTAAACCCTGGGGTGTTGTTGAGAATTGGAAGCAGTGGACCGATCCTGCAAACCGAAAGCCTTAAACCCTCGACCGACCCACCTGCAAGGTGACATGGTGCTGCTTTGTGGGGAGGAGGGTGCCGGTAAGTCTACTCTGCTGAAGGTTTTGGCCGGCATGTGGCCACTGGGACGCAAGATCCCAAGATCCTAAAGAACCGCTGAAAAGCTCTAGCATCGCAAAATCCCTCTACGTAACCCATAAGGGCCATAACCCTTCAACAACTCATCAACACCCCCGAATCCCAAACCTTTACGCGAAAATCCACCCCCGAAGCCCATCGTCCGTGCTTCTACGCCGGCTGTTCTGTAGGGTTTATAGGGCTTAGGGGCATAATGCAATAGCTGGCTCCAAGTTCTGTTCGAATCTGTTCCATGGGCTTAGGATTGAGGGCTTTGGAGTTGGGTATATAAAGCCCGAAACCCTAATATAGGGGACTTAATCATCACCTACATTATGTTGGGGGTTCCTTATCATAAGTATAGTCTATCATACCCCAAAACCCTATTCAAATTCTTAAGGCCCTCACCTTATTCCCCTAAACCCTAAACCCTACACCCTAAACCCATTCCCTACAGGGCCGATAGGGTTCCGGGCTTGCGAGCCTCCGAGGCTTCTCGCTTCGGGGTACTATGGCGGCCTTAATAATTACATATACCCATATAATTAGTTTTTAGGGTGTAGGGCTTTGGGTCTACATTTTGTTGGTTTATGTTAGGGTTTAGAGTTTAGAGTTCAATCACTGCAGTAGTTGCAGCAAAGGCCTTACGTGGACAATCGGGAGGGCACTGCTTTGGCGAGCAAGAAGGATGTGGTTCTGATCCCCCAGAAGCCGCGTTTGTTGCTTGGCTGCATGTGCACGGCATGGTATGATGGTACTTTGTGCGGCTTCAGTGAGACTTCGACACGAAGCATAGTATTAGTAGAGGACATGCTTTAGATCGAGGTGTTGGGTCAGGATGTTTGTGCTGTTGGCGGTGAGATGCTACCGCTGCGGCTGCTGATGATGATGACGACGACGAAGGTGATTACAATAATAAGCGATGTTGGTAATAGATATGTTCGTGATGATTACTATCATGAGAAGGAGGAGGGGGAATAGGAGGAGGAGGAGGAGGAGGCCGACGGCGATCTTCCTGATGGCTCTGATGTCATGCGATTTCGAGATGCTGCCGGTGATGTTGGTGATTGGCTTGAGTCCGGATGACGCCAAATCCATCTCGAGCTGAGCCCCATGCCCAGGACCAAGCACGCTAAACCCTAATCACCCAGGCCCCCAACCCCTAAACCCTAAACCCTGAACCCTGAACCCTGAACCCGAAACCCTAAACCCTAAACCCTAAACCCAGAACCAAGACCTACTGGTAGAACCTGAGTCCCTTTCACCGTGACCTCCAAGGCCACAAACCTTAGACGGACCGAGGCCCATGCCCATGTCCCTACATGAAGCTGTGGCTTTCCCGGATGTGCCCGACACTTACACCGAGGCCAGGCCATGGCCTCTCTTTCGGATTTGGGAGTTTTCGAAAATTAGGGCCACCTTATTTTGGGGGTCCTTATAATAAGGATCCTACTATTTAGGGTACTATCTTAGGGACCCCTATATTCGGAAACCCCCATTTGGCTACGGCCTTAGGACCTAAACCCTCAAACCCTAAACCCTAAACCGTGGCTCTGATCCTTACCCTGAACCCTAAGCCCTAAGCCCTAAAACCGTGGCTCTGATCCGGGGGAACCCTAGGGTCTGGGATTAGGGTTCAGCTAGAGTTCCGGGTTTAGGCTTCAGGGTTTTGGCTTTAGGGTTTAGGGTTTTGGCTTCTAGGGCTTTCAAGGCGCAGGGGATCTGCGCAAAGAGAGCTCTCGGATTCGCAGCTCCAAACCCAAAAGCCTAAACCCTAAACCCTGAAACCCTGAACCCTAAACCCTGAATGCAGACCCTTTTTTAAAACGAAACCTCAAACCCTTAACCCTGAAACCCAAAACCCTGAACCCAGACCCTTTTTAAAAAAGAAGCCTCACAACTCTAAACCCGTCCTAAACCGTAAACCCTAAACCCTAAACCCTAAACAACCCTAAACCCCCCTAAACCCTAAACCTTAAACCCTAAACCCTAAACCCTAAACCAAACCCTTCTAAACGGCGCTCGGAGGCAGAGGTTCGAGCCGCCCTGGATCGCGTGGGCTTGGCTGAGCTGGCGCAGAAGAGTCTGGTGGCTCTGGGGTTTGGTCTACCTTAAGAACCCAAAATCCACCTTTTTTGTAGGTTCTTATTACAAACCCTAATATGGGATTTATGGTGACCCTACAAAAAAGTAGGTTTGGGGTTCTTAATTAAGGTAGGGTTCAGGGGTTTAGGGTTTACGGTTTAGGGGTTTAGGGTTTGGGGTTTGGGGTTTTAGGATTTGGGGCTCCCCTGAAACATGCCCCCGCTTCACGGTTTAGAATGTAGGGTTTCCTTAAACCCTAAACTGCAAAACCCCCTGAGCCCCGATTCCCTAGACCCTGAACCCTACACCGACTCTCGCTGAGGTTTTCGGGTGGGGTTCGGGTTTTCGGGTTTAGGATTTAGGGGTTTACGGTGTGGGTCGCGGGTTTGGGGTTGTGGGTTGTGGATTCAGGAGGTTTGGGGTTTCGCATTTCGGGTGAAGGGGTCCCGAGGGCTACTTCTTAACCTAAGTACGTGCTGCTTTTTGACTCCGAAAAGAAAAGGGGGGGGGGCACGAAAGCATGCTACTATGGGTGTGTGGTCTTAGGGTCGGGCCCACGTGATGTTGGTGCTCCTTTGTTGTGAATCCTTCCAAAAATGAGACGTGGACGCGTCCTTGTTGATAGATCTGAACCGCCAACCCAATGCATGCAGACTCCAGGAATAATATAGCTGTGTCTTCAATAAAACTGGCAGTCCAAGCCTGGACCCTAAACCCGAAACCTTGCGACCCCTCAATTTTCATCCCAAGCAACCCTATATACCCTTGTAGTAGCCCTTATTATTACAGAGCCATTTTATGGATCTCTTGAATTGTCATTAGGGCCTCTATGTTAGTTCGGGTTTCGGTCCTGGGCTTTTCGGTGTGGGGACTTGGTGCCAGGCTCAGGGCTTCGAGGTTTCAGGGACTTCGGAGGTAGGTCGAAGGAATTAGTAATACCATCGCCTATTTTTCTCCGATATATCGATATACATACACACACGCACACATATATATATATATATATGTATATCGAGCTTTAGTAGAGTATCAGCCCCAAAGCACGCAAAACCCTGAACCCTAACCTGCGAGGAGATCCAGATGGATGTCAACAGCACCCTCTCCGGTGGTGAATTTCAGCGACTGCTCGTGGCACATTGCCTTCTTGCGAGGCCGTCCGGGGTTAAGGGTTTAGATATGACGATTCCCACGGTAAGGGTTATCAGATTGCAACATCGAGCCGGACTCCCTGAATTAAGAGATTTTGGAGTGCCTGGGTTACAAACCCCAGGCCCGTCCTACACCCTAAACTCTACCAATCCACATCGATGCTGGGAAGTCACTGACTATGGGGTTTAGCAAAGAGGGGCGAATGCTTCGCTAACGTCTACTAGAGACATGCAGCAACTAATCGTGGATGTAAGTAAGGTGCAGTAGCCAGTAGTAGATAGAAATGTTTGAGTGGCTCCCGGGGTGTAGACACCCGAGGAACATCAGGAGGGTGGGTCTTTCTGTGGTTTTTCCGATTCTTCGCCACGTCATTTTGGCAGCTAAGCACGAGAACCCTCCTCGGATTTTGCCAGGCCATCCTGGATTCTGCTGGACGAGCCCAGGTCTTTGTTTAGAGTTTAATATAGAAGCCTACATAATTACCTTCATTATTCTTTGGATTCCCTATTATACTTATACCGTAAAGGAGCTCAAACAACCCTATTCTAACAATTAAGGCCCCTAAACCCTAAACCCCCTTATAGCAACCCTTATAGTAGAACCGTTTTAAGGAACCCTCTAAAAGGAACCCCAAAACCCTGTTCTATTTATTAAGGCCACTTTTTTTTGGCGGGTTTGGGGTTTGGACCGGAGGGACTTGTCTGTCGAACCCTGAATCCAGAGCCCTAGCTTCAAATCTCTGCCAACCCGAAGCCGACCTTACAAGTCTTAGGGTTCAGGGCTTCGGGTTTAGGGCTTAGGGTTTCGGGTTTAGGGTCTGGGGTTTAGGGTTCAGGGCCTAGGGTTTAGGGTCTAGGGTCTAGGGTTTAGAGTTTAGGGCAAAGGTTCAGGATTACATCTCAGGCTCTATTTTTCTCTCCGCGGCCCAATCGAAGCCAGTCTGAGACAGCACACCGCGTCCGAGGAGTCTATGGCCCACATGTCCACTATTTGCCGCACTGATCTGTACAAACTGCTCGTGGACGACCTCGTGAAAGGTGGGTTTAGGGTTTAGGGTGTAGGGTTTAGGGTTTAGGGTTTAGGGGTTTAGGGGTTTAGGGTTTAGGGTTTAGGGTTTAGGGCGGGGCAGCAAAAGAGCCTAGTGTGGGTGTTTAGAGTGAATAAAGAACTTGAGTTTACAGTGGCGGGGACTGTAATATAGGGGCCTAAATATTTATAGGCACTAGCTTTTTTTGGGGGGATCCTTATCATGGAGAACCCCTGATTGATCCCTTTGATCCCTTACCCCCCTAACTCCCTAGCACCCCCCACCCCGCAGCCCGAACGAGCTAAGCACTATCCGAACATAAACCGAAACACACCAAACATCATCAATCCTGACGAGAAACCCTTAACCCTGAACCCTCAACCAAGCCATCCGGGGTTCGTCATCGGGTCTGGAAATGACCCGGTGTCGGGGCTTTTGGTTTAAACGATTGTGGCTGTAGGGTCTAGGTTTTTCAGAGTTTAGGTTGAAGCTGAAAGACGGTGGTTGCAGGCAGCGGCGCTGGAATCGTCAGCACCTGCCACAATTGGCAAGAGCTTGCTAGCTTCCACGACCGCTTCTACCGCATCGAGGATGACGGGTTGTTGAACAGACTCTTGTGCCCTGATGGCCCTAGACTAACCCTCGTAGCAACCCTTATAGTTACAGAGGCCGCTTTAAGAATTGAAAAAGGAACCCCATCGTGACCGAAGTTTACAAATTCGAACGACTTCAACTAGGCTTCGAGCCACCCGCAGCTCTTCGTGCTTCTCACATCTTGTCGAAGCCTGTCTGTAAATCACTACATACCGGAGCCAGAAGCTATTCTTACCCAAGTCTCCAAACCCTAGAGCTAAACCCTAAAACCCTAAACAGGGCATTTCAGGATTTTGTAGTGCTTCGTTGCGTCGGCGGCTTGACAGATTCATGGCACGGTCCTCCGGGCAGTAATCGGACAGGTCGGCCCCTAATCACCACATAGGAGCATGGCCTCTTCACAGACACTATTTTCACCCTAATCTTGATCCCTAACCCTGATCCCTAAACCCTAATCCCTGATCCTAAACCCACAAAACCCCCTAAACCCTAAACAACTTTGCAGTTGCAGGAGAACGAGGCTGCCCGCCGCGTCTCGACTCTATTCGGTTCTGCAATCCCAAATCCGCCCATTAAGATGTTTAGGATCTAGACTTAGAGTTTAGATGTTTTGGAGCTGTTTAGGATTTAGAGTTTCGATGTTTAGTGTTTAAAATTTCGGTGTTTAGGGTTTAGGATTTAGATTCTAGGTGTTTCGGAGTGGGTGTAGGCTCTAGGGTCTAGGCTTTAGGGTTCTCGAGCTTGTTGTACTTAGGGTTGTTTCGGCGCGCAACCTAAACCGAAATTCGTGAAGTACAGTTGATGATATAAATCCTGCATTGCCCATAGCAAGGAATATAACTTAGAGTCCTTAAGGTAATGCAGGTTCATATCATCAACAGTAATTATGTGTCACCACCCACATCTCTCAAGTTGGAAGGTGTTCGGGGTCGTTCTAGGGTGTGGGCTTTATGGTCAAGAGCAGCAAAGGCGTCGTGCCATTCCAGCCGGACGGCAGCAGCGGCGGCGGCAAGGAGGTCGTCCCCTAAACCCTGAACACCCTAAACTCTAAACCCTAAACTCTAAACCCTAAATCCTAAATCCTAAGCCCTAAGCCCTAAACCCTAAACCCTAGACCGTGTAGACCCCGAAACCCCAAACTCTGGACACTAGACACCAACTAACTGAGATCCTGAAACCCTGAAGCCCGGCGAAAGAGGTCGGTTTAGGGTTTAGGGTTTAGGGTTTAGGGTTTAGGGTTTAGGGTGGTCAAAGTAGTTTTTGATACGCTTCATGATATGCGGAGCTTCCGAAAATTAGGGTACCTTATTTTGGGGTCCTTATAATAAGGATCCTACTATTTAGAGTACTATATTGGGGTCCCCTATTTTCGGAAACCCCCCATATAAATCCTGCATTACCCATAATAAGGAATATACCATACTTCCCATAGTTTAGGGTCCTTAAGGTAATTGGCGATTTATATCATCAACAGTAGTACTCCCCCTATAGGTCGTCTAAAGTTATGCTATAATGAAAGCAGCGGAGCTCAGCCCCCTAGCCCACTTTTGTAGATGTCAAAAAAGCTCGGTCAACACAGCTTGCTCAAAACATTTCGCTCAAAAAGCTGCGGTCAAAACTCAGGGATCCAAACCCTTGCCTGTACAAGTTCTAAACACCCTACTTGGAGGGTCGGGAGACTTAGTAAGTAGGTAATAAGTAGACCTATAAGTACTTTGAAAGGGACCCTAATTGGGGTTATAGTACTTATAAGTCTATAAAATAACCATTTACTAAGTCCCCCGACCCTCCAAGTAAACCCTAAACCCTAAACCCTAACCCTAAAGCCTGAATGTTAGTGGACTGGCGGCTACGGGCTACGAGCCTTTGGAGGCTTTAGTCTAGGGCTCTGGTGTTATAGGGGGTTTAGAGTTTAGGTTCGGGTGTAACAGGGTTTAATTAAGAGTAGGGGTTGCTTAGGGTTGGGGAAGTTTGGGATTTCGGTTCCGGGTTTAGAGCTCTCGGGGTATGAGGCCTTTAGGGGTTCAGACAAGCCTACATGGGTAGTTCTCTAGGTCATTCTTATAAATGTGTGCTTTATTTGGGATCTAGAAAGGGCCCTAGTTTAGAGAATTACGCAGATCTTTTCGGGACGTCGAGTGTTATGATGACATCGTGTGGGGTTCGTTGGAGCCTGATCGTCTGCGGGGCATCATCCATGATACCCTAAACCCTAGACCCTAAACCCCTAGACCCTAAACCCTAAACCCTAAACCCCAAACCCCAAACCCTAAACCCTAAACCGAAACCTTAACCGTCTAGCATCCTTGCAGTGTCAGCATCTGCACGGAGAAGTCGGAGAAGTGAAGAAAGACTGTACAGGCTTTCAATACTGCGGGTTGCGAGCCGACGATCCTGAACTACTACAGAAGCCTTACTTAATTAGTAGCTACCTATACTATTTTTTTGGGGGGGTTAGGGTTTAGGGTTGGGGTTCTTATTGTAATTATAGTAGAATATACCACCCAAAAACCCCATTCTAATTACTAAGGCCCCTACCAGAAGCTCCACGTCTTGAAGTTCCTGAAACCCTACAGGATATTATGGCCAAGGTGGAGAGCAAGGACGGCTTAGGGTTTAGGGTTTAGGGTTTAAGGTTTAGGCTTTAGGGTTTGGAGTTTGGGGTTTATGCACCGGGTGGTTGGATTCTGATGTTGCTTTGACGTTTGTGGTGTACATTTCTGGGCTAGGATCGGATACCCTGGGTGTCTCAGAGGTAGGACTCTGCTGTCACAGCCGGTGCTGGATGAAAGCTGTCAAATCTAAGCTTAGTATATATATATATATACATATATGGATGGAGGCGGCAGGAATTCTGACACTTTACTTGTCGTCGGCTGAACTTCGGAACCACCCACGGCGGACAGTTTCTGATTGCGGAGTTTGAGTTCAGGACGCAGCGTTCATCCACAGCTTAGGGTTCGGGGCTTGCGCTAAGGGCACGGAGACAGCACACCTTTTTGTAGTCAGTACCCTAAACCCTAAACCCTAAACCCTAAGTGTTCGAAGCTCCAAGCTGGTCTACACCTGCTCCCTGGGTACGAAACCTTGAGCTTTGCGCTCTAAACTCTAGAACCCAGCACGCTGAAACTCGCAATTCCGCTGCATCCTAAGACCCTAGACTGGAGCCATAACCCAGAAAGCCCTGAAACCGTAAAGCCCCAAAACGCCCAACACCCCACATCCTTGAACTCCCTAAACCCTAAACCTTTCGACAAACTCCTAAGGCCACAAAAAGCTTAAGCTTTCAACACGGGAGCTTCTGCCAGGACAGGGAGATTGCGAGATTACGCACCGAGCTCCTCCAGCTCCAGCAGGGACCACCTCAAGTGAAACCGGCTGAGGCGTAGGTGCCCAGTAGTTGAAGGTAGTATGGAGGTCCGAGTAGCCGTTGTTACTCAGACAGTCAGATCACCTTCCATAAGGGTATCGCCGGTATCGTCCCGTCATCGCTTTCACGCTGGGACGGGCACCTCATGTGTTTGTTTCTTGCATAATTTGACCTATCTGCAGGGGCCGCAGGCGCAGAAACTCGTCCTGCCCAGTGAATTGGCTTTCTGACGTTATATTCACCTCGACCCTGACAGGTGCCACATTATCAAGCAATCTACATAAGTAGAGGACACTAACCAGAAAATCACTCCATAGACAGGGTACGATGGACCTCGGACGAAGAATCCTCCCCCTCAAGAGTGGAGGCTTATTTACAAGGGGTTCGTATTACTGCGCAGTGGATCTAAGTAATTATGGGAGGGTTGTCCTTCTATTCTTGACTCAACCCTAAACCTATAACTCTACTCTATATGGAATTATCATTGACTACGATATAGACAAATACAACATTCTAAATTCGATTTTTACGAACAAATAAATAATTCGAAAAAATTGGCTCGGAAACAATATTAAAAAGAAAAATAAAATAGAGGATTAGGCAATAATAGAATGCAATTAAAATTGGAATGGACTCGTTTGGGAAACAATAGGGGGTCTTACTGTTGATCTCTTATTTAGTCTTCTCTATTAAATATAGCGTCGAATTATCGAGTGGAAACAATCGGAATCTTAAGAGATTTGATTTTAGTTTAGTGATTTATATAAGAATTGCTATTTTAATAAAATTCTTGTTATAAATATTTGGTTTAAAAATGGGTCTTATAATTAAAATTTTGCAAGGTCATTTTCTTGATTTAAGAGATCTCTTTATTTAAATATTCTTGAATTTTTCGATTAGTATTAGAACTAAGAATAATATATCGATAAATCTATAAATCGAGGAGATCGATAAATCGATAGATAGTTAGATAAAATAGATAAATAGAATACTTCTAGATAGATAAGAGATATATAGAGATATTATTATATAGAAAATATTTTATATAGAATATTACGAAAATAATTCTATAAGATTACTAAAAATTTTGATATTTTTGAGATTATAAAAGAATATACTTTTGAAATATAAGAATAAAATATAATTTTAGAAATCTTATTAGAAATTAAATTTTGGTTCTTAAGAAATGGATTGGTTCTAAATAATTTACAATTATTTTTTATTGAAATATTGATGAAATTCCATATTATTATTAATTTATTAAAATATTTCTTTTTTTTTATTTGCTTTTATGGAATCTATTTATTTATTTATTCTATTATTTTATTTATTTAAATTGAGATTAAAATAATATAAGAGTAATAAATCTCAATTAGGGTTTTGCTTTAAATAATTTCTTTATTATTCTATTATTTCTTCGATTCGTCCTCCGTCGCCATCTTATATAATTCTTCTCAAGTTCATTCGATATGTTCTATTTTATTTGGCCCCTGGCCTTCTTGGATCTAAATTCATCTCTAAATCCATAACATTATGTAATATTCCCCTCATTATAAATATCTTCGCCTGTCTCTTTATTACAACCCGCATCTTCATTTCTCCCACCATACTCCCCTCAGACCTGTGATACTCTCATTTTTCTATTCTGCCCCAACCACCCACCCTGAATAATACTTTGCTTTTTCGCATTCCTAAAATATTTATCTTCGTCTCCTGCAATATATTCCTGCGTCCCCCTCCACGATATTCTCTCGATTTCTTTATCCCGCACTCCCCTATAACCTACCATTTCCCCGGGACCATTTCGCGACACTCCCCACGAAACAGACGCCTCGCCCGCAACTTACATTTCCATATTTTTATATTTCGGTTTACAGATATGATATCTAATATTATATAAATATCATATAGATTACGATCAATTAAAAATTCCTGCCATATCAGAACTCATAAGGATATATCGCGGCCTTATAAATATACTTAGTCTCAAAATATATATATATAATAAAAATATTGAGATATAGTTAGAGAATTAACAGCAAATTTTCCATATCGGTAAGAAGAAATTATGAGCCATCCTAAAAAAATTCGAATCAAAAGATTCTGGATATTTCGAAAACAAAATTTTCTTCTAAATTATTCAAAAATTTTCGAGAATCTCCTATATAAGATATAAATAAAGAATTCTCATATTTCTATTCTGCTCCCACCCACCCACCCTGAATAATATTTTGCTTTTTCGCATTCCTAAAATATATATCTTCGTCTCCTTTAATATATTCCTACGTCCCCCTCCCCGATATTCTCTCGATCTCTTTATCCCTTACTCCCCCACAACCTACCATTTCCCCGGGACCATTTCGCGACACTCCCCACGAAACAGACGCCTCGCCCGCAACTTACATTTCCATATTTTCATATTTCGGTTTACAGATATGATATCTAATCGATATATCATATAAATATCATATAAATTATGATCATTTCAATTCCTGCCATATCAGAATTCATAAGGATATATCGTGGTCTTATAAATATATTTAGTCTCAAAAAAAAAAATATATATAATAGAAATATTGAGATATAGTTAGAGAATTAATAATAAAATTTCTATATCGATAAGAAGAAATTATGAGCCATCCTAAAAAAATTTCGAATTCTAAAAAATCTCGAATCAAAAGATTCTGGATATTTCGAAAACAAAATTTTCTTCTAAATTATTCAAAAATTTTCGAGAATCTCCTATATAAGATATAAATAAAGAATTCTCATATTTCTATTCTGCCCCCGTCCACCCACCCTGAATAATATTTTACTTTTTCGCATTCCTAAAATATATATCTTCGTCTCCTTTAATATATTCTTACGTCCCCCTCCACGATAGTCTCTCGATCTCTTTATCCCGCACTCCCCCAGAACCTATTATTTCCCCGGGACCATTTCGCGACACTCCCCACGAATCAGACGCCCATATTTTCATATTTCGGTTTACAGATATGATATCTGATCGATATATTATATAAATATCATATAAATTACGATCAATTCAATTCCTGCCATATCAGAATTCATAAGGATATATCGCGGTCTTATGAATATATTTAGCCTCAAAATAATGAATATATTTAATAGAAATATTGGGATATAGTTAGAGAATTAGCAGCAAATTTTTCCATACCGATAAGAAGAAATTATGAGCCATCCTAAAAAAAATCGAATCCTAAAAAAATTCGAATGAAAAGATTCTGGATATTTCGAAAAAATTTATTTCTTCTAAATTATTCAAAATTTTTCGAGAATCCCCTATATAATGTATAAATAAAGAATCTAGATAAATCGAGAAACTATCGGAAGAATGGATTATATAATTAAAATATATACGCACTTATAGAGATCTATGGCAACGAATCCAATATTTGATTTCATTTTTTTAAATTAGAATTCTCTCATTGCTTCTAAAAATAGAAGAAAGATATTCAAAATAATTTCGCTATATATAATAATCACTCAATATCCTCACTTTTAGATATAAAAATTACTTATTCCTAATTCTTTGAAATATCATAATTCTAAAATTATAATGCCGCGAACTCCTCAATATACTAAATAATATAATATTATTATTTTTGAGATCCAATATCATATATATATATATAAATAAATTCTATCGATTAATAAATAATATAAGATTTATATATCGCAAACTATAATGAAAAATTATCAATTCAAATACATAATTTCTAATATATATCCAAATAGTTCCGATCATAAATCCAAATATAAATCAAATCTAAATCAGAAATAGAAAACACCCCCGTATCGTCCGAATCCATATAAATAATTTCAGAATCGGATCCATAATTATATAGAGAACATAAAACCAGGCCGAGTTTGATACGATCCGGACCCGAATACGAACACGGACTCGGATACGAACCTAGACACAAACCAGACCCCGGACCCGAACCACGACTCGGACACTAACCCGACAGAACCCACACACGACACCAACCCAGACTCCCATCCAGACTAGATCGCCTTGCTCGGTCTACATACTCCAAAAATTAGAGCTATATCTGAAATTTGACAGGCCCTCAAGATCCGATAAAAATATTCCTAATATTTTGGTCGACCGCCCACGTTTACAAGAAATCGCAGTTAGCGGAATCGGAAAAACTCGGTCATATGCAAGCCCAATAACATAAATGACCGTGTCATTTTATAGAAATATATGAATATATAGGAAAAATAAGCCCCAGAGCCACTACCAAGTAATAAGAATATGCTCCAAAAGCTATCAGATTTTTTAATATTCTGAATAAATTTCAGAATCTGAGTCCAATCATATAAATTTCAGAAAATAATTATTATAAATATTAAAATATTCAATAATCAAGATAAGTAAAATATTTATAAATATATCTAAGAGTAGAAGATATAGATATATATATATTAATAAATTCTATATATATATATATATATTTTTCTATTTTCTCTGAGCATAATTCAGAAGAATTTTATAAAAATAAATTAAATTCTCATTATTATATTGCAGAAATATAATTATTTTATTTGAGTCTTTATATCGAATCTTTAACCGATTCTTCCATATCTTATCTATTTATTATTCATTTCAATATCATATTCTCAATTTTCAATTGGAATATATTTTCCCTAAGATTCGTTAGTCTTTCCAGATTGGTGTCAAACCTGTTCGTTCCTACAACAATAGGGGCACTCATGTCTATTAATTACCTTTGGGACACAATCAAACAAGACTCTTTTTGAAAAGACCTATTTCCCAAGTCGAAAGCATCAACTTCTCGTCTCGTCTGAGAAGAGAACGGCCATGAAACGTAGTATCTTGGCAAACTAAAGCCGCGAAGGATACCCGAGTCCAGAGTGGCGTCCTTCCTTTAGTGTGCGAAACTGCGAAACTCCCAAGTGGAGTCTGAGCTGAAAGGCGTCGGATGATTACCGGCAGCCAGGTTGGTGGATTCCAATGCTGGGTGCTTCACAAGAGCCCGAAAAGCACCTAAACATATGATTTTCATGTAATATCCGTTAATGTCCCCTTCTACACAGGCTTGATATTATCCGATTGAATACTTTATGTTTAGGTGCCTTTTTGAGGTCCTAGCCAGAGGCCAGAGGTTCTTCATCAAGAAGCGCAGCGGGAGCACACGGGTCCAACAGTTCGCTCGAAGCTCGCGAGGTGCACTGCCAACATCACGTACGTGATCTTCCTGTGCATCTCATACCAACCAAATGCAGCACCCCACAGAAATTTATGTATCCAGCCGTATAGCTAAGAGAAAGCGAAGCGTGTAGGGTGGAGTCCGAGATTCCGGAGAATGCCCGCATGCCGGCAAGGGCATCGAGCCACCGACAAAGAACACCTGTTTCCGGAATGAAATTTAACGGTTCAAGAGTGTGATAGTGTTGAAGCACAGGTTTATAAAGGTTTGTTGTTAGGGTTGTCTATCGGGTTAGTAGTTCAAGCTTTTCTTCCTGGGGATTTCGCAGAGTTGGGTCCAGAGAAATCCAGGGTTCGGTGGAGATCAGAAATGCACACAACCATAGTGACATAAACAGCCTAAATATCATGTGTCCCTACTGTGGCAACATACAAGAAGATCCTTACGTTTGCAGTGTCCAAAGCTTAGCAAGCCCGGATCAAAAGTCAGTGCTACCGTGTGTGCATTTCCTCTCATTTACATGTCGCCTTTTTGTCCTACTCTGGCTACGATAAGGTTGAAGACTGCCGGTGTTATCTTCTCATGTTGTCCTGAATGTGCCGACTGAATATTTTGGTAATCATAGCCCGCAGTTCCCTGTAGCCTTCAGCTTTCCAGCCCAGAAGAAGGCAGATCTCCAACAAATCCATGCGCACGTCAGGTACACCAACTCCAGAAGCTGCAGCATGCCTCCGCCAAGACACAAACAGCTAAGGGTTTAGGGCTTAGGGTTAGGGTTTAGGGTTTAGGGTTTGCAACCCCGCACTGCAATGCCCCTGATTTCCCCTAAACCCTAACCTTTAAGGAGGACCCATTACTTGCAGGCTGTTTGAGCCTTTGGGACTTCAGCCCGTGACTGCACGCCATGGGCGATGACACAGCCGGGTAGGGGCTTCTCGAAGCATCAGATAAATCTGGCAGTTTTTAGTTCGCAGCATAGTGTTCAGTTCAGGGTCCTTTCTGTAAGCATCACTATAGGAGTTATGTGACGTGATATAGGGGCCTGAAGGCATGAGAATACGGAATTGGGGTAGCTGTACTATATCTATACAGGGGCTTTCAGGGGATGTTATCAGGTTTAGGAGCTCCGTGTCGAAATTTGCTAAGCACGCTAAACCAAGGCCAAAACAAGCCAGTTATGTAACAAGCCTTGCAGTGCCTTGCGGCTTTCTGAATCAGGTTCCCAACTAGTTGATGCCAAAGAAGATGGCAACTGCATTCCGCCCGGCAATAGCCACCAAGTACGTAAGCCAACAGTGTTCATCGTAGCCATAGTAAGGATGTAAGGTCGCTACCAGAACAGCTACCAACAAAAGCTGACAGCACAAGGAGGAATGTAGATGACCATCATCACCTCCCCTGAGCAGAATCACCACCACCATGCCATCACCAGCAGCAGCACCGTCATCGTCATCGTCATCAGCCTCACCAGCATCATAAGCACCAGGCTCAATCGGATCAACTGCCGCAGCAGAATGCGATCCTTCATCGCATCGTTGTACCATGCCGAACTCGCCCCCACCTTGGCAACAAAACGGTGTGCGGGACCTCCGACAGCGATAGTCGGTGCTGCAGCTTAAGCGGTTGTCACGGCAGGGATGCCAACGATGTTTTCATCTTGGCTGAGCCAACCACGGGCAGAGGCGACTTGAGTTGCAAAGTTTGAAGAAAGGTGTAGGGTTCCTTTACACTTAGCCGTTCCTTTCAGGGTTTGCGGATTTAGGGCTTTGGGTTTACGCTGAATCTACATCCAAGTAGGCTCTGAACTTGGGCTGATGGGATCCGTGTCAGAGGTTTCATGTCGCCTTCAGGCGGCTCTAGATTTCTATCCTAGGGGAGCAAGCACAGATCCAGGTTGAGGGTTCGTGTGGGTTTCGGGTTTAGGGAACCCTTCATGTAACAAGGATCCTCGTGCTCAGGTTATGGATTTCTGTTTATCTGGTTCAGTGTTTTGGGTTTGGGGTGTAATGTGACATCTGGACCCTGGACGTAAGACTCTCCCTGAAATAATGCACGCTAAAAGATGTGGGAACCTCTTAAGAAGGGAACCTACGCTAGTTACGATAACGAGCGATAGGTCCATATATAGGGCTTCCAAATTAGGAATCTGTCTTGATTCTTCTATGTGGCCTCTCATGTAGTAAGGCACGCTCCTCAGTTCTAAACCCTCACTGGGTTAGGGCTTAGGGTTTAGGGTTGAGGGACCATTCAAACACTGGGGTATTCGAGCTTCCCCTGAACCCAAAGCCCCGGGTAAGTTCGGCTCGAGGAGCGTCGCTCACCCAGCGGTCTTCTGGAGCTCGAAGATTTTGACCACCTCTCGCAAGGCCCTTGAGTATTTGGGTAGTTGTCTAGATGAGGGTCCCTTTTAGGTCCTTTTTATAAGGGTGCCGTACTACATTGGGGACCCATAAGAAGGGACCCGAATTTAGAGAACTACCCATGTAGAATCCGGATACAGACTTTGCGCTTAACGGTTCAAGGATTCGAGTACTGCGCACTTCCACCAACGGGCTTTCATAGAAATACATGTGTATATATAGATATAGATATGCACATACAGGTATGCCATGCTTAGCCAATAACTAGTTTTGCTTCAGGAAGTTCGTCGGGAAGAGCAGCGGCCTCCATCTGACCCATGTCCCAGGCTTCCTCGTAAGCAGTTTTGCCAGCGCGATCTTCTGCGTCCACTTGCTGGAACTCCGGTGTGCCTTTGCGGGTGTAGAGTTTGGGGTCAATCAGAATGCGGTGACTTATCTCTTGATAGGGTTTAGTTACGAGGGCCTGAACTATTGGAATTGGGCTTTGGAGGTATATTGTTAATTAGAACACAACAGGGGCGATCGGCGAACGTCATCACTACACATTCAGTCCACTTAGGATGAGCCGCTTGGTTTCATGCTTACAGCTCGAAAGACTTAAACTCCACTTACACTCCGACATGGTCTGGACTTCTCCACATCTCCAGATATCAACTTCTCCAACACCGAAAAGTCATTCGCGCAGTACTTGCTCCAAATTTCTACCAGGCCTGCGGGCGAAGCCTTTGGGCTTACAGGGTTCAGGGTCTAGGGGGAGCCTCAAAGGGGTCTCGACAAGACCTGCACCCTTGCGACTTTATGGTTATGGGGTTCCATGCTATCTTCATGGGAACACGCGGCCTAAACCTTCAACCCTCAAGCCCTGAGTCAAGGGTTCGACAATGGAGGTGCTAAGCCGCAAACACAAACACTCATGGACCCAAATTTTTAAGGCCTGCAAAAACCCTAAACTCTAAACCAATGTAGGGGCTTTAATAATTAGAATAAAACTTGGGGGTTCATTCTACTATTATTATAATAAGGAACCCCCGGAAATAGTATTGGTAATCATTTACAGTAGGCCTTTACGGTATGTGCTTGAGAAGCCAAAAAGCTGAGGATTTCGGCGCACGCGCGTTCCAGGCCACCCACGGCAGCCCAATGTAAGGCCGTCTTCCCCGACAAGTCCTTGAGGGTTTTGTTGGGATTTAGGGTTGGCTGGACTGCTGCCGCGTCTGCAGTACACAGGTTTCAGTTATATTAATCTATGAAAGTTACACCAAATTGGCTAAGGTGAGTCGAAAACTGCGAAGATAAAAATCGAGACTTCTTGGGTACATATAGCTGCAGTCAGGCACGGCAAGCATACCTATGACTCCACTAATGCACTGACAACCCTGCTGCACTTCTGGCATTTTGTCCTCCAAGCCCTACCCGACTGAAAGAATCTTGAAATCCAGCTCCTTGAAGCCATCCGCATGCACAGTCCCTTAAGCCTTAACCCTAAACTCTAAGCCTTAGCGCATCTTAAAACACTGCCCTTTAGCACTGAACCCCGAATACCCCCGGAGGTCAACGTCCACCACTGCTGGGAGAGTGGCCTCGAGTCTAGAGCCCACCCCTCGTCTCCATTGTAGTCCCCTTTTTTGAGTCTAACCAATTTGTATGTTTAGGATCCTAAACCCTAAACCCTAAACCGTAACCCATGGAAGGAAATACCATGGAGACCCTAGGGTAGCCCACCCCTAAACACAAAACCCTTTTTTTTTTATCATCTCTCCTTAGAAAGGTAGGTTCTTTGGGGTTCGGGTAGGGTTTAGGAATTATCATTTCCTTATATATGTCCGTAAAAAAGTAGGGTTTAGGAATGTAGTTCGGGGGTCCCCAACCTTTTCACCTCCAAGCCCCTGTTTCTACTCACCCCCTCGCACGAGGCAGGCATGGCTTCGGTCCGAGGTGGTTAGGTTTTTTTTCGTTTTAGGGTTAGGGTTTAGGGTTTAGGGCCCTTTTTCCGATCTGCCAACAGCATCCCAGAATAGGGTTTGGGGTTCTAGGGCTTTGTTTATTGCAGCAGGCTCCTGCACGTTGATCGCTTTGAAATCGGGATCTTGCATGAGTTCCAATGCCAGCTCCTGGTGGAAGAAAGCTGTTGCCGCGAAACCCTAAACTCTGAACCCTAAACTCCGAAACCCTAAACTCTGAACTGTAAACCCTGAATCCCAGTAAACCGGAACCCGACGGACAAAGGCTTGCGGGGGCCTTGGTGATTTGGTTTAGGGCTTTGCGTGAACCGTCTCCACCCTGGGGCCCGAAACCACATGAACACAATGTGGCAACATAACAGAGATTAGGGTTTAGGGTTTAGGGTTAGAAGGTCGGAAAACTCAAGTATGTGGCTACATCACATCGTGCACGAGACCATGATCACGTGAATCCCTACATAGCATATGATGCTAACAACAGTAACAAGTCTGTAGCAATAAGAATGATAAGACGCAGAAGCCGAATATGGATATAGGCATGAGAAGCACCCCTAAACCCTAAACCCTAAACCACTGGGCGACCTCTCCTCATCACCAGCCTCCAACGTCCTCATCAAGGAGGTCATCCCCCGGCCGTCCACGCTGTTGATGTCCTTGAGCCGGCTTTGGATTTAAGGCAGCTTGACTGACTGTTCTTTTGTTGTCCCGGGACTTCAAACTCAGGGTTTTAGGGTTTAGGGTTTTGGATTTAGGGCATAGGGCCTATAGTGTTTAGGGTTCGGCAGTCCAGGGCCCTAAACCCTAAAGCCCTAAACCCGGTCTTGGGAATGTTCCGGCTTTATGTGCTGGGTTTCCAAGGCTCTCAGGCTTAGGGCTTCACTGACTTTACTTTTGATGTTGGGCTTGAGGGCCAGCATGTTTAGGGCTCTGGAGATTTCAGGGATGCTGATCCGAATAGCAAATTAAGTTCATCAATCTGTCTACACGACGCCGTAGACCTGCATGAAGCTGTAAAGGCCTTATATAGCAGTACCGCACACTTGCTTATGAATATACGTATATATATATATATATATATGCTCACCCCCCCCCGTTGACAGACCGCGGCGTGCATACAGTGTGTTCCTGGCAAGCGACCCTGCTGATTAAAACCTGTTCGCCGCCGTTAGCTTTTAACATTGGTTTGAGTACTTTCCTTTGGTATTGAGACTGGTATTAATTTTCTATAGTAACAGTAATATTCCTACGAGCACTAA